AACAGCTATTACAGGAGAACAGCAGAACTGGATGGTAAAAAAGGGGATTGTGAATGAGAAAGCCTGGGGGGTGGGGAGAGAGAGGAGAGGATAAGAGAGAGAAAGAGCCCCGCGATGGTCTCGTGGCTGATTGGTTCTGTTTTATGACATAAAAAGTTTGTCAGCAAAATCCTGTAGCATCAGAAGCAGCGGATGAAAGGTTCCGTGATCGCCATGGCAACATGCCAGATGTAAACATCAGCACGGTTGCGTGGGCATCCACGACAGTCACCACGTCCAAGACAGTCACAACAATACGATCCTTACGAGAGGTCAGGGTAGTGACATATAATTATGAAATACGCACGCAAATTTGATACAGACTGAGACTGAGTTGGATGTAGAAATTGACATGCACAAAAATCAGGTCCGGTGTCCTCAAAAACAAAATAAATGATTTTGCATAAAGACATTTTTTATATGCAAAAATAAATATTTTGCATAAAGAAATTAAGTATACTTTTTAAGAAATTTTTTTTTTGCATTATTTTCATGGCAATTAAGCACATCCTCTGACTAAATTCAGATATTTCTGTATCCTCATAATAAGAGATTACATGGAATATTTGTATTTCATTAATTTTGTCATTCCGGAAGAATATTTAAGAGCTGCAAAAAGTTAAAAAGTGATTAAAGATGATGATTTTAAAATAGAAGTTACTTGACATGTATATGAAATTTAATGAATATGAATGTGAAGTTTTTACTGTAGTTTCTTACTGTAATATAATTTTTTCCTGATTTAATTCAGTATTAATCAGCATAAATTAAAGGAAGTACAACAAATGCTACCATGATGTATAAATCCTATACGATTTAAATATATATTTTTTTGCATTTCAGTAATTAGATTTTTTTTCCATTAAATTGCACTATGCTAATGAGAATTAAAAGGGCAATGTGCATAATGTCATGACAGTGCACAAATAAATCAATGGTCCTAACAGACCTCACTTTTGTTATTTATGCAAAGTATATCTTTTTTTTTGTTATTCCTTTCTTTTGATTTTCGATGAAAATATTATCTGGAGAAATTATTGGGTTTCATGCAATTTACCCACAGCTGCAAACACAGAAGGCTCTTAAAGGGGGCGTACGAATTAGGAGATAAGTGGTCTTAGAGCTTGACACAAGCTCTAGTCCCTTCCAAATTAAACGATTGGACAAAAAACAGCCAGCATCTCTGCAAGGAACCTCTTAATCCCTGAAACTAATAAAGCTTAATGATTTATTCTGAGTGTGCGGGAGAAAATGCTTACAGTGGTACAGGAGAATGAGACACTGGGGAAATTGCACATGGCTACTCGTAACTAATATTATGAAAAGCATTATAAGTAAGGAGTCTCAGAGCAATATCAAAAGTGTCCCTGAGCGTAGCTGCACGTGCAGCCCCTCCCATCACTGCAGTATGTCCCCAGCACAGAGCTGCACAAGGAGGCCCTCAGAACTCTTCCGAGTGCGTTCTGTGCTGCGCTGTGCTGTGTTTGGGGGCCACCTCCTGGATGAGATCAATAAATTCACTCTTCTCCAGACAGGCTCTGCACTCCTCCCCCCACAAGGCCAAGACTCTCTTCAGCTCCAACACTCGCATTTTAGACAAAGCGTCCCTGCTCCAGTCGAGAACAGGATGCTCTGTTTCAGAAGAACAAGAATGTCCATTTTAAAACCTTTGAGATAAATATTTCCAAATATTTAAAAGCCTCTAATGCAGTGTCAGGACTCTTATATGTGAATACACCCTACCATATCTGAGCTCGCAGATCTGGCCGTCCCTGCGCTGAAGTCTCTGGCAGATTTTGTGGACAGGAACATGTGCACTGAGGGGGCGGCTCACATCACCTGTCACTTTGGCTGCAGCATCACTGGAGGCTCCCAGGTAATAACACTGACGTGAAAGGGGAGAGAATTACAATTACACGACCTCATATATTCAGTATATTTTTTCATAACATCTCTATATATTTTCAAAGATGGGCCAGCAACCAAAGAAGAATAAGAACCCAACTGTGCTTGTTTTTATGTTCTTACAAGTCGATTCTCTTTCCCAGTAGTCTCAGCGCAGGCTCTGATCAGACCCTCCTCCACCAGCTCTGGGGACAATTCTGTGTGCCTGATCACCAGTGAGTTATAAAGCCGGCCCAAAAACCCTACACACACTGCAAAACAGATACACACATACAAAATAAACAGAGGTTTAAACTGGAGGGTGAATTCATATGATGTTAGTTATATAACAGGGTTTCTGTGGATCTTAAAAATGTCTTAAAGGGGTCCTTATGCTCTTTTACAGAGTCTTGATTTTGTTTTGGGGGTGTACTAGAACAGGCTCTCATACTAGGTTATTCGAAAAACACATTATTTTTCACATATTTTACATTATTATAACACCTCTCTTTGACTTTAATCTGGGTTTAGGGTTGAGCGCATTGATTCTGCACAGAAAATACAGCAATACGTTTTGACTGGCTCCAAGGCCTGTTACCAGATGCCTGAACCTGACATCTTCACATTTTTATATATATATAAAAAGCTGTATTATTTCCATGCCTTACTGGATTTTAAATGTGTTCGATACTGTTGCATAGCACATTTTAAGTGTCAAAGTCAATTGAAAACAAGTTTGCCATGGAATGATTCAGACAAAGGATTTTTTTTTCTTTGTGCATCTGTTCAGCAGACACTTGAAATGGTGAGAAAATGATTGTTATAGTCTTCAAATCACAAAGACTGTTAAATCACAAAGAAAATGAGTGAACACTTCTTTACAATGGAAGCTCAAAAAGCATTTTATGTATAATATTTGCAATGCATGCACTAATTTTTTGCAGTGTACGACTATCATAAATAAATATATACTATCATATTTTCATAAGTTTTGAGGTCGGTAATGTTTGTTAATATTTTTATTCTCATTAAATTGTTTGAAAGTGACAGCTTAACATTTATAATGTTGCAAAAGATTTCAGTTTTAAAGGGGTCCTATTATGCTCTTTTTCAAAGTCTTGATTTTGTTTTGGGGGTGTACTAGAACAGGCTCTCATACTAGGTTATTTTTCACATATTTTACATTATTACAACACCTCTCTCCCCAGTCTGGCATGAACGGCTCAAATAGTTCCTGTATCAAATGAAAGCCCACCTTCTGAAATACGAAATGTGCTGTGATTGGTTAGCTGGGCCAGTGTGTGTTGTGATTGGTTAGCTGGGCCAGTGTGTGTTGTGATTGGCAGCACTCGGTGCGTGCCTGGTCGGGAAATGTCATGCCCCTTACCATAGTTGCCTGCTGCGAGCTTCAGTGTAAATATTGCGTCAAAATCAAATCAATTTGAGCACGATTTAAACCTGGATGATTGTAACCACTCTAAGTTCATCTGCCTTGGGAAAGCTAGCGTGTCTCCGACATAGTGATAACACTCGTTGCCTTCTCTAGTGCAGCTCAACCAGGTCTCGTCCCATTCGTCGATATTTGTGATATCACAAATCCTGTAAAATATGCGTTGTAGTCCAAACGAGTCACTGGTTGTAGTTTTTGAAAAGTGATTTCTGTTAAATACAAGATCTCCTTTTAAAGTGCACTTTGAGCTTTGTAACTTTGCAAATCTTTTTTATGCTCAAACAGCAACATTACAGACTAAAGTTGAAAAAGTGAAAAAGCATAATAGGTCCCCTTTAAGTCTTAAATTAATAAAATCTTGGCATCTTCCTGAGTATTTTTTTGTTTTGTTTACTAATACAAACACCTAAACATCCTTAAATCAAGACACATTTACTTGAGATGCAAACTGAATATGTAAAGTCTTTTTCTCTGAGAAAATGAACAAAATTTAATGAATTTGTTTAAAATATGAACAAGCATCTGTCAGTGCTTATTTAAAAAAAAACGTATTTTACCTTTGAATTAGGTTGATTTTTTTTCAGCCTATTTGCAGATGTTTGCTCTTATTTTAATCAAAAATTCTATTCATTTTGATCAGTTTCTCAGAAAACAAGACTTTATGTTCAATTTGCATCTCAAGTGTATATTGATTTAAGGATGTTTAGATATTTGTACTGGAAATTGTAGTGCATGCATGCCATAATTTCTCATGAAACAAGATGTCTTATTTTATGTAATTTTGCGAAGAATCTTTAAGAACATCATCTTTTTGCAGTGTATTCAAGCTATTTATTTATTTATTTTAAAATTAATAAATTTTTAAAAGTAATGGAAATATATGTTCTTTTTTCGTTGAAGCGTTGCTAATACATTTACATTTAGAGACGATATTGACGTGTTGTGTTCCATTCAATTTATTCCTTAAATTGTCTTACTTAGTCTTAAATATGTCTTTAAATTACTTAATAAAGTATTAATAAAAGTCTCATAAAACCAGAAACCCTGTATAATAACTGTTAGTAATGATAATGCAAAACATAAGCATCTAGCTGTAAATTGATTGTATTACAACACACAAGCCATATTTAGTATTACAATAATACGGGTTTTCTGTTTGCAATCCAAAACCAGGACTCACCTCTTAAATATTGATTTCATACAGTGCATATCTCACATTTCACTATGTGAAAACGCTCATGCACTTGTGCAAAATAACCCAGCATAGTTCAGGTGACTATTTTTAAACTCAGTGGCTCATGCGCGATGCAAGCCAAGCTGACCAACCTCACCTTCGCATTCTTCTGCATCAGTAACTGAGAATAAAACAACACATAAAAGCAAAAGTAACGGGGTGGCAACGGAGTTGGTTAAAGACATGACTCTGTGCGCTTAAAAGGCGCTTGTGCGCACTTTTAAGTGAACTTCAATAACCCAGTACGCAACACCCACCGGCGCCGCTTTCAGCTGTTTCTAAATCAGGCGCTGCTCTCTTGACGTTCCAGTCGACGTCAGTGCAGTGGCGCTCTGATTGGCTAATAACGCCGCGCGTCATTTGACAGAATCTCTTCTCATTTGCATATGAGGACCGGCTTCCGGTAGACTCCTTCGAAAGCATGGCTGCCATCGGGGTGCACTTTGGATACACATGTGCCTGTGTTGCCGTATTCAAGGTGAATTGTTTATGAGTATAAATCATTTTACTTTGTTTAATAAACGCAAACATGTCGGCAACAAAATAAAATATCTAATAGACCTTGTTCATGTTGCTGAATAGTTAATGGTGTGACAGACAAACCATACCTGCTTATAATAAGTGTAAGTCAATTGTTTTCATATAGGATGGGCGAGCAGATGTTGTGGCAAATGATGCAGGGGACAGAGTCACTCCAGCTGTGGTCGCATACAGAGACACTGAACAGGTAATTTTCCATGGTGGACATCTAGAGAATCAGACTGCAGGCAAGGATCATTATACAGCTCTCTCATCAGCACCAAAAACAGAGAGCCTTTAACATCTATAAGATTAAGAATCAACCGTAAAATAAAAGCTTAAATTCATAACTACAAAACATATCTCTAGTCTAATGAATAGTATGTATACTGTGTCTGTATTGCGTATATTGTACTGTCTCTGTATTGCATAGTGAGCTTAATTTTTCATAATAGCAGTGTACATGCATTGCTATGTTGTTTGGATGCTATTGCCCCATAATTTGCCTTATGGGACAAATTTATTATATAACATAATATAATAATGCTGGGGATTGGATTTAGATGGATGAGCTCATGCCTAAACCCAAACTCCTCTAAATTCTGCCAACAGACCAGTCTGACAAGTTTTTATTTATTTTGTCCTACTAATATATATTAAATATTAAAGTGTTGTAATACGTCTTGATTCATTTTTAATTTTTTTGTTTAATTTAAATGTTAATAAATGAAGCAAGAACGTCAGGGCATATGATAGTCTAATGGTTTTATTTAATTTAATTATTGTTCTAGATAGTGGGAATCGCCGCTAAGCAGGGCAGAATACGAAATGCCACCAATACAGTTGTCAAAGTGAAGCAGATCCTGGGCAGATGGTAGGTTTTCATGTTGGGTGTCTTTAGACTATTCTGTAGATAAATCACTGCATATTGTGCATAATGTTATTAAGAATATTTACAGTCAAATTAGCAATAACTTAATAATAATACATTTATATAAATAAAAATCATAATATAAAATTTGTTCGACTTTGATTGGTATTTGACAGCTATGATGACCCAGATGCTCAGACACACAGAGAAGAAAGCAAATGCATTGTAAGTACATGCTGTTGTTCTTAAATACTGACACACAAAAACACAACAGTAACCATAAAATCTGAACCACCTGCTCTTTTAAAAGGTGTGTATTTTCATAATTTCTAGGTTGTCAACAAGAGTGACCTGCTCAGATATGAAATCGACACGGGAGAGACAACCAAGTATGTGTCGCCTGAAGATGTAGCTAAATTGATCTTCCATAAAATGAAAGGTATTGAATCCTTAATTTCATGTCATAGTATGTTTAACATGAACTAGTGATGATTATTTAATGTTCCCTGCAGAGACGGCCCAGTCAGCCTTGGGTTCGGACGTGAAAGACGCAGTCATAACAGTGCCTTTTGAGTTCGGAGAGATGCAGAAGAATGCGCTCAGGTATGTGCTTGATGTGTCCGTAAAACATCGTATACTTTGAGATGAATGCAAATTAATTCAAATGATGTAACCGTTATCTAACTCCAGAAGCCGTGTCTAGGGAGATGTTTTATAAGAATCGGTGCTGTGTTGTAGGCAAGCTGCAGAAAGTGCCGGGTTCAATGTGCTGAGGCTGATCCACGAACCCACCGCTGCGCTTCTAGCTTATGGGATCGGGCAGGACTCACTGTTGGGAAAAAGGTAAGACTTTTTTTGCATTATCTCAGATGAATGGTTTCTTTCGGCTCAAAAGTCTCATTCCCATTTTTCTTTTGGACCACAGTCATGTGCTAGTGTACAAACTGGGAGGCACGTCGCTCAGCGTCACCATCCTGGAGGTGAACAGCGGAATGTACCGGGTCCTCGCCACACAGACGGATCACAGGACAGGGGGAGAGAGCTTCACACATGAGCTCTCACAGCACCTCGCTGCAGAGTTCAAAAAGTCAGTAGATGTCCTGTACCTCACATTTAACTTTTAAGTGTGTACTTTGACTTTGTTATTATTGTGAAAGTGACACTGTGAACAGTAGGTTGTTTGCCGTTGCCAAGCAACTTCACACCTTTCAGAATTTGAAGTCTTTTGTTATATAATGCAAAGCAGCTTTTTTTGTAGTGATGCAAAACATCTCATTTATTTATGAATATTATCTTTTCCTTTACTGAATTTTATTAATTCAGTATTAATAAAAAACGGATTTGGTGAAGCACCATTCAATTATAAAGTTTAATATAAAAAGTAGGTAAAAGTTTGCTATTGATTATACTTTATTATCAGAATAGGCATTACTATATGTAATATACTTGTGTAATACAATGATAAACTTGTGTAAATGACAGTATATATATATATATATATATATAATGTTTTGCTCACCAAGGCTGGATTTGATAAAAAAAATAAATATTGTGAAATATTATTACAGTTTAAAATAACTGTTATCTATTTAAATACGTTTTAAAATGTAATTTATTCCTGTGATGGTGAAGCTAAATTTCCAGCAGCCATTACTCCAGTCTTCAGTGTCACATGATCCTTCAGAAATCATTCTAATATGCTGATTTGCTGCTCAAATATTTCTTATTGTTATCAATTTTTTGAAACTGTGATACAATTAACTTAAAATGTGACACTCTTATTTTTCTAGATTGTACTTAGAGACTTGGAACCTAAAGAGGAGCTGCATGACATTGTCACAGTGCTGACAATGAAGAGGTAATGAAATAAATGAACTTTTTTATTCAGAATGGATGCATTAAATTGATCAAAAGTGACAGTAAAACAATTCATAATGTTACAAAAGATTCCTATTTCCAATAAATGCTGTTTTGAACTTTCTATTAATTAAATAATCCTGAAAAAAAAAATATTAGGGTTTCCACAAAAATATTGATGATAATAAAAGTTTATTGCGCAGCATATCAGCATATCAGAATGATTTCATGTGACACTGAAGACTTGAATAATGGCTGCTGGAAATTCAGCTTTGCATCACAGGAATAAATTTAAATTTAAAATATAAGAACAGAAAACAATTATTTTCAATTATAAAAATGTTTCACAATATTACTGTTTTTATTGTATTTTTAATCAAATGAAATTAGTGAGCATAAGAGACTTCTTTTTAAAACTGTTATTTTGTTGCTTGTGTAATGACACAGTGCTATATACAGTAAATTCAGTAATATCACCCAGTCATACTCAACTCCGTCATAAAGCTCGTATCCTTATTTGAACAATTTCTTATGTGTGTTTACTTTTCAGGGACGGTTCACTGCACGTTACATGCACAGAGCAGAGCAGTGGCAGATCCGAGGCTATTACCATAGAAACGGCTGCTGCGGCATCTTAACCTTGAGTCACACTATCAGCGTAATTCCATACAGTAACCTAAACACCTGCATCCCATGCTGTTTGAGGTTTTCCAGTGCTCTAGATTCCTCTAGACCTTAGCTGAAGGAAACAAGTTAAAGTTCTTATTCAGTTTAAGGAATAGCTCACCCAGAAAAGAAAGTTATTCACTTGCCCTCATGTTGTTCCAAACCCGTTATTTTTATTTGGTACAATTATTATTACAGCTTTTGCCATACAACTGCCATTCATAGCGACAAAAGAAGGAACCAAGTAGTTCTTTGTCTTGTCTGGAGCTTGGACAAAAATTAATATGGGCTTGGAATATCATGAGGGTGAGTAAAAAATAAAATTGTCCTGTTTGTGTGAGCTATTGCTTTAAATTAATATCCAGTTTTAATTGTGTACTCTATTTTTAAAAAATTTTTTTACCAGAAGTAATCTTTTACTATTTTTCAAGCCTGTTGTCTGTGACCAGCAGGTTTAACTGCAGTTGTTCTTACCATGTGCCTTCATGTACCTGCATCACATCAATGGGATTCATATATGTGACAGGCAAAATAATTGAAGGAATTAACAAAGCCTGTGGAGTTCACTGATATCATTTAAAAAGCATGAACAACCTTCTCAGACTGAGGAAAGACTTTCATTTGTTGTAGAGACTGAAGAGAAGCAGGTGCAGGTGCCTGAAGAGATACTAATCTGGTGCAGTCACATCGAACAGGTGCAGAATGATCACATTTTTTAAAAGCTTTGTCATCTGTAACTAGTACTCAATAAAGATCACCGAACACAATAAACCCTGAGTTTATTTTCATAAGATACTTGCTACATTCACGTCAGATTTTTGCAATTACATGATTCCACATTTTAAAATCCACTCACATTTTTTTATATATATGAACATGTAGAGGTGAATATAGATTGGAAAATATTTTGCTCTTACCAACAACAAAGCTGCACATGGATCTGTTTTGATGTTGGGTTGCCATAGTGACAAGTTTTGAGTCTGAGAATATCAACATTCGACACAATGTAAACATAGAATTGTATTAGAATTTAGTACTTTAGAATTTGTTGTGCTTTTGTCATTTTATAATATATATATATTTCCATTTTGGTTTTGTAATTTTTGTTCTTCAAATTTTTGAACAGATTTTAAATGTTGCTTTAGCAATTTAAATTAATCAAGTGTATGTTTTTGAAGTTTACATTTTTCATCTAATATTTACATTTTATTTTATACAAGGGCTTTAACCTGAATTTGAAAAGATAATTTTATAGTAAGCAACAAGTCTTATGACAACATGGTACAAGAAAAAAAAAGTTTGTCCTTACAGCTCTGCGACGTCCTCCAGTGTCTTGCCCAACGGAATGACATTAGGATAGATGTTAACAGGACATATGTAGGAGAGAAAGTCCTTAACCTAGTCACAGGAAATAGACGCGGTCTTATGATAGGCTAACATTGTGTACGGTGTGTCATATGAAGAATATCCTTCTCGGTGATATTTCTCTCACCTCCAAATAAGAGGAATGAAAAGAAAAGCATGCTCTGTAGGAACTACTTCCCATCCTAAAAAGAAAGACGTGATGAATAATTTATTATTAATAATATATATATATATATAAAATAGGTAATTGCATGCAAATTTATTCTATTTTTACATTTAGATTTCCTGTGCTATCATCTAACTTTTAAAGTTGATCTTTTAAAAACACTAATAGTTGGATTACTGTTAAATATAATCTTTAAAAGTTTGAAAATGAGTTTCCATTTTTAATACTTATTAAAATGTGTGATTTTTTTTTTAGTGTCTTATTTCAATAAATAGATGCATAAATATTGATAGAATTTTAATATTGGCCATAACATTTTAATATTGATGCATCGTGACTCACTTGACAATGACAGAGGTCTTTCTGGTCCGTTCTCCAAACCATATGGTTGAGGGTTTGATGCTGATAATGTTTAGAGGAATGTCATCCGGAGCCATGGAGCCACACGGTAACCTGTTTGCCCTGAAGAACTCCTCGTCCTGTGAAAAAGCCACCATTGTGACCACCGTCCGGAACGTATATGATGGTGTCATTATGCAAAGGTTGAGCGTACCTTGGGGTGCCTACAAGCGTGGATCTGCGTTGCACGGTCGGTGGTCATGTGACACAGAATTTCAGGCATATTTTTTTTACATATCCAAGCTGTTCACATGTATCTATAATAGAGAAATAGTGTTAATGTTTTAAAAGAAGGAAGAAAGAAACTAGAGGAACAACCTCTGACCTGTGAGCTGAACTCTTGTCCCAGATTGGTGAAAAGATACTCGTAACCATAAGCTGCCTTACAGTTTAGCCAAACAACATGGTACGGACTCTGACAGATCCAGTCCTGGACCAGCTGACTTATCCCTGTCAAACAAGCCTCCTAAAACAGAAGAAAAGAACACTGTTATGAACAGAACCGACAAGCTCAAGTCTGTATGATTTAATGCAGGTGCGTAAATGCTTACCCTGCTAGGGATCTGATGATACTTGGGATCAAAGAATGTGGTGTCGCTATACACACTCTGAATATCTTTTACCCTGCAGCACAAACATATGAATGCTATTATTATATACAAAATGTGCTGTACTTATTTAAATATCTGATATCAGAATACCTGTCTCCAGAGTGCAAGTACTCCATTCTAGCTGCATCTCCGACAGCCAGTCTGAAGTCCCCTGTGTACAGCACTGTACCCTGAGCACCCTCAAACAGAAACCTGTTTATAAAGTCAATATTAAATCAAAATTGACTGTATATGTTCTTAATGCATGCTCCTGCTCTTATTTTGCAGAGGTTGCTTACATGACTGATCCTGGACAGTGTCCCGCTGGAAGCAGAGTAACAACAACATCCTCTGACTGAAGACAAAAATGTATACGACTTCAGATCAACTCCAAAAACACTCAAAAGAATAAACTAGGAACTAAAATCTCACCTCTCCAGTGATTTCAGTTGGACTGTCCAGTTCCAGTGGGACCTAGTATTTAATGCAAAGGTTCTAAAATGAGGTTAACATAATTATTTATGGAAAAATTGTAGGGCTGAGAATAATACTTACAATGTGATCTTCCCAGAATGCATATTTTGGGTTACTCCTTTGTGACAAATGAGCAGTACAGCTTGACCGTTAAACTAATGGAGACAAAGTTTGTTTCAGTGTTTTGTCAAATATGCAAATTATGTATATAAATTAAAATTTTTAAAAAGTAACATTTTTGCTACAAATGAATTTAAGCATAAAAATGTTTTAATGATATATGAAAAAGGGTTACTTAATATGAGATCTGTTAAAACACATTCTTAATTTTAAGTTTAAACTATAACAGCAAAATAAATCTAAATGCAAAACAGAATAGAATAAAAGTGGAATACAATTTTGTACAAATACTGCATCAAATAGTACGCATTTATAAGCTCGTTTATAAAAAATAATAGTGTATAAACTTAATTCTGAGACAAAAGTCATATTTAAAAAATAAAGCGGTTCATAAATAATACATGAAATTGGAAACAAAGCTTATGGTTTACATAAACTTTTACAGTTAAACGTTTATAAACAAATTATAAATGTTTAATAAGAAAGGGATGTTTCATTTCATATTCATTTTGGAATATGTACAAATATCACTCACCTGAACTTCAGTTTTCTCTTCAGTAAAGGTCCTTTCAACCCTTTCATATGATCTATTGAACATAAACACAATAGATATATAAAACAAAACAAACAATACAAAGTTCCTAAGCGGGATTCGATCCAGTGTCCATTATATATATATAAATAAAGGATATATATATGCACCTTTATGGCAGTGAGATAGGAAATAAGCTCTGGCGTGCAAATTCTCCCTGTCAAATCGGTCCAGGGAGATGGTGGGATACTCCTTCATGCGGTCAGCAAACGAGCTCATGCTGATTGCACTGAGTTTGAGCCGATGAGACACTCAAAACCCCCCTGAGAGCTGAGCACATCCCTGCCCGAACTCTTCCGCAGCACCCCTGCATCTGTCTTTCCTCCTGGCATCGCTTTGGTATGAAATCACGTGAGTCGGAAATAAACATTGTAATTTGATCTGAATCTGAATCGTACAGCGACATCTATTGGACTCCAAAGCAATCATTATAACATTGCAAAAAGGCACAATAATCGGTATACTCTAAAATAGTACACTGAGACAAAAAAAATGCGAATAATTATTCATATCGAGGAACTGTTCGGTCCGTTTCTTCTAGGCAGGTTTCCGGGTGTAGCGTTGATTGGCCAACCAAACTGTAATTCCGGGTTGGTTTTCGATTGGCCATGTTTTCCTCACGCTATGCGCTATGTTGCTAGGAAACACATGATGCGCAGGATTGTTTTGCTAAAGGAGCACGTTGACAATTCAGCCGTGTGTCACACACGTCAATGTAAGTTTGTTACATATTATTAATAATACATATATACAAATTGTCATTTAATATCAGAGTGTGAGGCATGTTCTGAGTGATTAGACTAGATGCTTAGCTGTCAAAATTTGTAAATCCAGAATATCCTGGATTAGGTGAGAAATGTTTTTTTTTGTGCGTAACATTTTTGCATTATGTGATAAGTTGATTTGACTTGATTTTGTACTAGAACAGAATTTGTAGTGAAACTGTATTTATTCCAGAGGAGAATACTGTGGTGTATTTGTTATCATACACAGAAATCATGTCCTGTGCCGTTTTACTGGATAACAACGCTAAGCCAAAGTCCATGAGCCGAGCAAAGCAGTGGACAGGAGAGATTGAGGACCTGTACAGATTTCAGCAAGCTGGATACAGAGATGAGCTGGAGTACCGACAAATCAAACAAGTCGAGGTATCCACTTTTGATCGTTTTTGTTTGATTAATACAATATTATTCACTATTACATTATATAATGCTTAAACAATCCTTATACATACAAAGTCAGAAATGGTGTGCATGGTGTATGTTTTCTAATATACAGTACATTTTCTCTCTGTATATATATTGAATATTTGGATTTCATGTTATTATTAATATATTAAAAGCTCATCTACTAAGCTTTATGGAATATTTGTTTTTATTAATGAAAGTGGTCCTGCTTTGTCAGTTAGCTAATGTCTTATAAATACTTTAATATACAGTGCTGTTCAAAAGTCTGGGATCAGTAAGATTTTACTGTTTTTTTTTTTTAAGAAGTCTCTTCTGCTCACCAAAGCTGCAATTATTCGGTCAAAATTACAGGAAAAACAGTAATATTGTGAAATAATATTGCAATTTAAAATGATGGTTTTCTATTTGAATATATTTTAAAAATACAATTTATTCCTGTGAAGCAAAGCTGAGTTTTCAGCATCATTACTCCAGTCTTCAGTGTCACATGATCCTTCAGAAATCACTCTAATATGCTGATTTATTATCAATGTTGGAAACAGTTTTTGCTGCTTAATATTTTTTATTTTGGAACTTGTGATACCTTTTTTGGGATTCTTTGATGAATAAAAAGTTAAAAAAGAACAGCATTTTATTCAAAATAGAAATCTTTTCTAACAATATAAGTATTTATTGTCACTTTTTATCAATTTAACACATCTTTGCTGATTAAAAGTATTAATTTCTTTCAAAAACAGAAAGATTTTTTCTAATCTATAATCTAAATTTCTATTTTAAGCAAATGCTGTTCTTTTTATTCATCAAAGAATCTTGAAAAAATATCACAGGTTCCAAAAAAAAAAAATATTAAGCAGCAAAAACTGTTTCTATCATTGATAATAAATCCGCATATTAGAATGATTTCTGAAGGATCATGTGACACTGAAGACTGGAGTAATGACTGATGAAAATTCAGTTTTGCATCACAGAAATAAATTATATTTTAAAGAATGTTAATATAGAAAACAGTTATTTTAAATTGCAATAATATTTCACTTTTTTCTGTATTTTTGATCAAATAAATGCAGCCTTGATGAGCATAAGAAACTTGAAAATAGATACTGATCCCA